ACTTTATTAACTAACAAATATAATAACTATAACTAATATATCTAATATATCTAATAGATTAATGATGATCACTTTATCATATTAGTTCAAATTATTCACTTTGTCAAATTTGTTAATCATTTTCAATCATATGACTGGTTAACCATAATTACATATTATGGCTTTAGTGTTTGCTTGATCAATTTGAACTAGTCTAAGTAGATATTATACTATCTAATAATATAGAATCTTGATGTCTCAAAAGTATAACAGTTTGATAATTTTTATCTTTATTTGAGTTAATTTTAACTAGTTTACTATGTAGAGAAATGATTATCTGAATTGCATAAAGGTGAGTGATAAGGATAATATTTCCATTAGGCATGCAAAGATAAAATCTATAGAACTTCATTATTAAAATATTGTGCATTTTACGTTTAAAGAGATGATGATCTGAATTACATAAAGATGAGTGATAAGGATGATATTTCTATTAGGCATGTAAAGATAAAATCTATAAATTTGCTATTCTAAAGTATATTCTTTTCTTGCAATAAATTTGAATACTACTCAGTTTTAGAAATGTAGTCATTTTATTGCTAATCTTTTGCAAATAGTTTGCTAAAAGTCAAATCAAATGCTTTGTTCATCCTTAATTTGAGTTCACTATCAGAAGCTTCTAAAAATGTAAGGCTCTGGCTACCTTCTTCATGAAAATCTAGGGCTAGCAAGGAATCTACTATTCTTGAATGTTTTGCTATGAAAGATACAGTGCAAGAGTAATTAGTTAATCTCTTTTACATAACAAAAATTGTTAAAGGTTATTTGTATATCAATATACCTGTATACTCTTTTTCGTTTTTAGTGCAAATAGATCAAGTGGTATTATTGTCCTCTGATGGTGTGGAAATTATGAAGGCTATTTATACGATTCCTAAGCTGCGGTTATAGACCCTACATATTATACATTTAAAAAAAAATCTCATAGAGAACTGCCTTTCTAAACATTACATTAATATTATCCGATGTATACTATTGTAATACAAGAATGTAAGAAAACTGGAATGTGTAATTGTGCTTTTTTTAAATTTTTTCTTTAAAAAAGTTATTTCATAGTCCGAAGCGTAAAACAATTAAATATTCAATAAATGTTATTTTTGAAATCATATTTACTTTTTTTTATAATAATTTTTTTTTTTTACTCTTTAACGATTATTCTTAACAATTAAAAATAAATTTTATAAATAATGTAATTGATGCGATATATTAAATTAATTAATAAAGGAAATAAAAATTCGTTATTATAATTTGATTTTAAAATTTTCTCATATCATGTAATTATTGTTCTCGCGTAGTGATGGAGACCCTAATTATTGATTAATAATTTTTATTATTAACGACTAATAATGGTTAATAACAATTAATTACTTTAAGCAATTAATAATTGTAATAAATACTTTATTTTATGCAACAAGCGCAGAATTTTAATTGTGATCTTTATGTGATTGTATCACCAAATGTGAGTGAGTTTGCATATCGCCTTTTATCAATTCTGCCACTTCTGAACGGTATGGTCATTGTTAGATAATATACATACGGAACATCATAATCAACTATCGCCAAAAATCAAGGTAAAATCAAGAAGGGTTTCAGAAATTATATAAAGCGGTAAATAATAGTTTTGATGAAGATGAATCTGTAAATGATAAACGATATAGATGAATTTATAAATAATTTAAATCAAATATTGAAAAATTATTTAAGTACTCAATGACTCAAATAATTAAGAAATAATTCCAATACTTGTTAGATGTTTTCGATAAAATATAAATACGAAATGTGATAAAATTCGATTTACTGCGCCATAAATTACTAAATAATAGCTCTGTCATTTACTAATAAGTATTTATAATTTCAGGGGTCTCATCACTACATTTTTTTGTTTCAATATAATATTTAGGAATTTATTTTTTTTACAAAATAATGAATGTGTTTTTAAAACCAAATGTTGTCGTTCTTATTGTATGAACCATATAAAGTGTAGTGTGAGTGAAACCCCAGAAATGATCATTTTACGCCAACTGACCTAATCAAGAGGAAAAGGACTCGGAGCCTAAATAAAATTGATTTAAAATTTATAAATAAATAAACAATTCATTTTTTTTTTTTTTTTGGATGATTATGAAATTTAATATATGCATAAATGTGTATAAATAACGAATTATTTAAAATATTAATTATATAATCAGACGATCTATAATCTTTTAGGAAAAATTTCGTCATTATTCAAACAATGATCTCATAAAATCAATAGACCTTTGAATTTTTTCGATCGCAAATCCATTAACCAATCCTAAAACGTGATCAAATTCAAAATTAAAATCCGAGTACAAGATTTTGATCGGCTTATTTAAAATTTTGAAATTTTTTTTTTTGTAAAATGACATACCGACAAAATATTGAAATTTATTAACGTCATTTCTGGCCAGGCTTTTGAAGATTCTGACCAATGAATCAAATGATTCTGAAGAACAACAATTTAGAAGCCGAAGAAGATGAAATGATTTTTTGTTCGGTAATTGTTTTAAAGTTTAACTGTGTTGAACGCGTGTTATTATTATTTCGAGATCCACGTTTATTTGAAGTATTTAAACCCATGTTCTAAAGCCATTATTATTAAGTTTCTTTTTAAAAAAAAAAAAACTCAAAAAAAAATTAACGAGTTTTAACATTTGAATATAGCCCATGTTCAATTCTAAATCGGAATCGATCAAACCGATCCACGAAAATAGGTGTTCGATCGATTCTGATAAACTAACGTGACGCGTGCCAGTAACCAACCATATTTATTGTTTACAACATGATTCGATCGAGCCGTACAAATTGTGCTCAATTGTCCAGTCTGAACGATCCGATCTAGAATTGAACAAGGCTCTTATTCAATTCTGGATCGGATCGTTCGAGGTTACTGGCACGCGTCACGTTAGGTTTATCAGAATCGATCGAACACCTATTTTCGTGGATCGGTTTTTGACTGACCGCTGATCGATTTAATAACCAATCATTTTATTGGCACATTTTCGGTCAATCCGATCCGATCTAGAATTGAACAGGCTAGGGCTTATGGTTAAGTTCACAAAAAATCTGGTTATTGATCAGGTCACAGACAATCTTCAGCCAATGGTTATCAATTCAAAACCCGATCAAAAATCCGAACGATCAGAAGTGAACAAGCCTAATTTTTTCTTTTTTTTTAAACCAAAAAAAGAAATAATTCGACTCTCATTATTAAAAAAAAAGGACTTTAAGCTTGGGAAGTTTCTTATTGGCTAACTTTGGTTTAGCAAGTCATAACTTCTATATTGGACTGAAATAAATTTACCATTAAGCAAATCTCGAGCTCTGATTTCTGATTTCGTAGCTCATTAATTTTTAATGAAACAGTCGGTCTTTTTAAAAAAAAAAAAAAAAAAATAGGATTATCACTGAGGATTTCTTTTCTATCAAATCTAATCATAGACATGAAAAAGCGAAATCTATTTATTTTCCCTTTATTATTACAAGTATCATCTAGTGTTAAAACATTCCCATGCTATTTATTTCTATACAAATACATAAAAATAGACTAACGTTAAAATTGCTAATGTAAAAGTTTCTTCAAATATCATTTCTAATATCATACACCTCTTGGATACTTTATCTATATTGCTTAAAGAGCTATTTCATATTATATTTATAGGTCATTGAGCAAGTAGCCCATAACACACATTTTTTCATAATAAAATCAATAAAAATCGTCAACCAAAGAAGACGACGATCAAACGGTTTAAACACTCATTTGATAATCTATCATTTTTGTTACACGAGCCAATCTTCAAAAAAAAATAATTTATTTCCAAAAAAAAAACAATTAATTAATTTACTTATTCATTTTGCAATAAATAAATAAATGAATGAATGAATAAAAAAAGAAATTCCATAAACCACAGCAAAAGCTTCAGATAAAATTGTTTTTTTGTTCGCTTACACGTTCTAAATTGAAAAAAAAACAAATACAGTACATCGAGAAACCCACTTTATGAGGATGAACATTTCACATCATCAAGATGATACCAATGATTGAAATCAATTACTACGACCGAACGAACAACCGCATCACCAAAGGAAGAATTATCAGATTTCCATTTCAGTTCCAAAGGAAGCGTTTTTGGATCATTTGAAGTGTGAGTTATGGTATTACCCTTTCCTTCCCCCTCACAATCCTTGTATTGCAATAATTTATTATCTAAAGTGAATTCACCAAAACGCTTGCCATCTTTATCCTCGACATAAACGAGAAGACCGCGAATTGCTTCTGGGCCGGCAAGAGTAAAGAGGTAATGATCATTTTCTTTCTTGACCGTAATATTATAACCTCCATTTCCTTGTACAATATTTTCTCCTTTATCTCCGGCATGCGGACTTTGATCCACTTCCTTAACGTCACAAGTTCCTGCGTGATTTGGCCATGTACTTGCGTAGAAAGTGAATATCGTCAGGTAAATTAACAAAGTCTTTAAGATGAATGAGGAAGTCATTATTTTTCTCTTTCTTATAAATCTTTTTAAAAATAAAATATATATATATATATATATAGAAGTTAACAATGAGGGACGTAAGAATGATAAAAAAAATTGAAACCCTTTAATATATTCTCGCGCTGAAACACAGCCGTAAGGGTGGCTTGCAATGGGAAACATAAGCCCCTCGGATAATTACTACAAAATCACACATAATAGCAAGTTTACCATTCCTAGTAAGGTTCAATTTAGCATGTTTATTATTAAATAGGATTACATATTTTTTTTTTCTTAAAGCTACCCTTAATTTTTGTAAATAAAAAAAAGAAAATCAACATCTTAAAAAAAAAGATCTAACCACAATAAGAAAATTTTTTTGATCGTGTTTGATTAACCTTAACCTTATTGAAACATAACATATTTGTTTTTCATATAAATTACACATAATGGGGAAAAAAAGACTTAAAAGTAATATTCGTAAACCGGTAAGCCTTCGTTTGTATAATAAAAGGAATGCTCCTGATCCACCATCACATAAAATGGTGATGGGGTATAATAAACATTCTGCTGTATCGTTTGAGATTCAAAGATCTCTTGTTGATCTGTCGAGTCCTGTTCTGCCATAGGAGGCATTGGAGGCATTGGAGCGAGTGGACGAGGTGAATTCGTATCTTCCAAACTGAGTGAAGTGAGGTACTTAACCGTCTTTTGGTGAAGGCCCTTGGCTTTCAAGGCCAACGACTTATATTCCTGTTGGACGAAAGGGGGTTCCAGGTTCCAAGAATCTGAAGCGAGCTTCGATATTACCCGCATATTGATGTCCTGGTATCCGCTCTCCCGCATTGTCTTGATATACGCCGTGCGATATAACAAGAACTGATTGGTAGCACGGACCGGTAATTTCCCTTTTTTCATAGAAGGTTGTAGTTCGCTCTCCTCGATTGGAGGTGGAAAGGGTACTTTGATAGGGAGGGCCCCGTAGGATTTGTGCGTGTGATTATTATTCATTTGGAAGGAATCTCGACAGAGGGTTGGACCATCTTTTGGATTAAAATTCAGTACTTATAAGAAATTTTTTAATGAATCACAAACTTTTAAATAGAGGATGTCCATTCATGCAGGTAAAGGCTTATATAATCATTTATATATAAAACAGGGATATATTGAATAAAAGGTAAATTATATTTAATTAATGTGTGTAATGATCTCAAACACCAATACTCTTTGTGTCCTTTATAAAAAAAATGTAGGATATCTATTATGAAGAAAATCCTTAAAGTATTACACAAACAAATACAAATCATGAAGATCGAGGTTTGAATGAACTTTTTAAACTTTTTTGAATAAATTTATCATCTATTCTATCAATTGAATTGATTATTTATTATGCAATTTTTACGTAATTGGTCAGGATTCACCTCAAATTTGAGGATCTGGTGTCAGGTGAACTAATCACGATATATCTTTCTAATTTTTTCTAATTGTGGAAATTTCTAAATGTATGTAACTCGAGTGATTTATTATTATTATTATTATTATTATTAATTTATTTTGAAGTTTATAGGATGGGGGATGTATGTGTATTACAAAAAAAAAAAAAAAAAAAAAAAAAAGTGGAAGCGGACAAAGAAAATTGTTTATATGAATTCTACACTGCATGCAAACATTGAAATTAAAGAATAAAAAAAAATCGAATAATCTACTTCGAGTATTCTGATGAAAAAACTGTTTTGTGGAAAATCATGTGAATATAATCAAAAAGACCAATCGCATGATCTTTTTTTGTGCATTGTGTATCCAGAAAGCTACAAAAAATTATTACATAATTTAGGTCAGGGTCAGAAAAAATTTTTTTTATAGAAAAAAAATCAAAACTTAGGTTTTTTTTTTTTTTTTTTTTTGCGCCTTCACTCAGGAAGTAAACAAACCTGTAAAATAAAGATATACTAACGTTAAAAGTTTCCGATTTGATCCAAACACAATAGTACCTGAGAACCCATTTTCATATTAGCACGATTTAAAGTTTAGCGCAAAGGGATTATGTAAAAAGTGGGTTTTCCGTTGCATCATTAAATGAAAACATTATGTGTGCAAATTAAAATTAATGCCGTCTTCCATGTTAAGTAATAAGGATTACTAAGGAACTTTGATACCGACGAAACTGGTGGAAGATATTTAATTAGAATGCAAGGAGTACACTTTAACGAATTGTAATGGGATGACGATGTCATCGCTATGCAAGATCCTGTAATAGCAAGATTAAAAATTTGATCATTGGTGTTCCAAAATATTTTGCACTAATGAAAAATTTTTTTCCAACGTCGTGTTCAATTGTGACCCACAACAAAATCACGTGGTCGTTGCTATTATGATGTATATATTTAAAACCCTTGTTTACATGGAGACCACTGTATTCATTTTAAGGTTCAATATTTCATTGCACAAGTTTTAAATTTTACACGCATGAATGAAACCAAAAGATATGTACACCCGGGTCGGTTAAATCAGTCAAACTATGATCCATAGATAAAGCCAAACGTCATAGATATTACTATGCATAGCATCTGCCCTTTTCTAATAATATGTTATACCAATTGTTCATCGGAAGAAACTTTCCCATTTTTTTGGCAATCGTTGGCATTATCTATATTCATTTGATCAAAGTCCCGTTCCATGTTACATTCCTTCCATGTTTATATATATATATTATATAATTGCATTACATAGGGATTTTTGTCGTTTATCAATCCTAGATATTCGAATAATTTTAAATCATTTTTTATCATATGTTGTAAGGATCTCATCTGTTTATATGTACGGTATCTTGACCCTGCATAAAGAGACCCTGTATTGTGCGATTTATAGCAAAAGTGGGAGTTGCTTAATTGTCATTGTGTGATTCATTTGATCCGTAAATACATTATCCGGAACATCTGTGCATTGCATAGATGCAAGTGACGAGTAATAAGCAGGTTAATTTTCTTTTTATTAAACTATATGATTAACTCTTTCTATAAGTTTTGTTGCTTATACCAACACTTTATTTGAATATCTCCTTTTACATAATTTTTTAGTTATACAAAATATCGATTGAAAATAATTTTTCTCGAATTTGTTTATAATCCTTAACTCTAATTATTTCTAGCTTTTCTATTCTTCAACTTTAAATAGAAATATTAAATTTTAATAATTTTAACATATTTTAAATTGACTTATTAAAATAAAAAAATTCAGTTTATAGATCTATTTTGTAATACTTTTTATAACTAAAAAATTATGAAAAGATCATTAGAAGATTATAAAAAAAATTTAAATAAAAATTTTAATAAAAAATAATTTTATTACATATTTTTATAAATATATATAATATTATTTATATTTAAAATAATAAAACCTTTTAAATATTTTTAAAATAATTTTCATTTAATAAATATCTTATTTTTACATTCTATTAAACTTTTCTATCTGTTTTAAAAGAATATTTTTATAATTATCAAGACCATTTAACCTCAATGATTAAAATCTTTCTTTACAGTATTCTTATATTAACTCAATTCTAAATCACTTTATTAATATCATATTTAGTAGAATCAGATTATTTTTGCTTTTGACTTATATATTTCTTTTTTTACCAAGTAAAATATTTTTTTAATAATAATTTTATAATAACTATAATAATTTACTTAAAATTCTTTAATATAATTTAATATAATAATATATATATTATTTAAATATTTATCATTTTCTTATTAATTTTATCAAAGATAATACTATTTTCTTAGATTTAATATTATCTTCAGAATCCTTAACTATAAATTATAATGTTTTGATTAAATGTAATCATCTTTTTTTTTAAAAAAATTAATTATTAGATTATAATAATTTTTATCTTTTTAAAAAGAAATTATTAAAAGATCCTATTATAATAATATTCTTAATAAGTTTAATTTATTCTAAAAATATAATAATAAATTAGTTAAATTTAGTTTAGATTGGATATACAAATTATAATAACTATTTAATTATATTAATTTAAATATTAATTTGAATTATAAAAAAGAATAAATATTTTTATTCTTTATTTTTAATTAGATTAACTAATCATAAAAAAATATTAAATCTTACAATAATCTTATCATTTAATAATTTATCAAAATTAATTATTATATTATTATTAATCAATAAAAAATTTATCATTTAATATAAATAATATTAAATCAACAAGTTATATTTACTTAAATTTTATCAAAACTTTTTTATAGTTTAAAAAAAATCTGATATTTACTTTTTATTTTTATATTTATAATTATAATATTAATAAAATTTTTCTAATAAAAATTATTATAAGTTTATAATATTTAAAACTTATTTTTTTATTTATAAAAATAAAAGATTTTTTTTTAATATGTAATAACTAACAATATTTATTAGAAATAAAGTAAAATTATACAAAATTACAAATTACAAAAGAGAGAATATAAAATTACTAAGACTAAATCAAAATTACCTTACATTGTTTTAGATTAATCTATCTAAATTAATTTAGAATAAATTTAACCATCCAGTACAGGAGATTTAGTTGTTACCAACCTAAAAATTTGATCACTTTATATTATATTTATAAGAAGAAAGAAAATAATATGAAACTATAAAAGTGTAGAGTTTGATAAAGGAAAGCCAATGTTGATAAAGTGTATTTTTTGATCAACCAGTAATATGTTATTAAGACTTTTAAATTGGTTAATACAGTCAAACCTTAATATACTAAACTTATTATTCAAGAACAAAAGTTCAATATATAGAAGATATTTAGTAAATCAAATTTTTTATATATTGAACTCTATAAATAATATTAAAAAGTTTAAAATCACGTAATTTTTGTATAATATATGTAATATAAAATTTTGTTTTATTAAAATATTCAAAAAATTATATTATTATTAAATAAAATGTTCAAAATTACATTACTAATTAATATTAATAAAATATTAAATAAAAAATTTTACATTATTAGTTATTATAATTTTAGAAAAAATTAATTATACTATATGCTATATACACATTAAATATTTAACTAACTATCTAAACTCTACTATTTTTATTGAAAGGATAATTTGCCTTTTAAAA